TTAAGCATGACAAGGTAAAAAACCATGACCTAATGGTTTTCTCTTATTTGATATGTTAGAGGCATGACTCCAGTCTAACAGAATCTCAGATTTTGTGAGACACCTTGGGCTTCATTTTACAATAAATGAAAGACTCATTAAATATTGAGTTAAAATGTATTTGTTTGACAGAAATCACCTCCAGAGGACAATTTATTTCTTAATACTTGACAAGAAATTCCCTGCTTGTGTTCAAGGAAGAGTTGGTTGTCAGAATATTATTAAAAACATATATGTTTGCCTAGATAGATAAAAAGCATCAAGGACTCCCAAAATTCTCATGATGGAAACAGGCTCTGTGCCCGACCTCATGATGCTAAATATGTGGAAGAGTGTGCTCCTTTGAGAAAGGGAACAGACTCTCATTCTTACTGTCATAAATTGGAAAATTCCTTTTATTTTGGATGGATGGTTGCATTTACCATGTGGGAACAAATCCTCCAGGTCCCTGATCAATCACTCGCCCAAATAGGAAAATTGTAATCCCTTTCCTCTTATTCATAAATGCTCCAAAACAAAGGATACATTTTCATACAACAAATAGGGCTAATAAATTGTGTCCTCATAGAAAATGTTCCGTGGTTAAAAGAGAGAGCATTTACAGTAAGCAAGAGGTACCTTGGAGGACTGGGAAATTCGGTATTAATGCTCAGGTTATTTACCAGCAAAATAGATTCAGCCTCCTTCTTATGATGAGAAATACACAAGAGGGAAATTTAATAATGTACAAGCAGACTCTCTGACTTAATACACACTTCCCCTTTATTTATTTCTGCTCTAAATCCATCTTCAAAGAAATGGGAGTATCTTAAAAAGAAACCAAGCAATCTCTATTAAAAGAGAAAGTTACCTGGGGGTTTGGCTAAGCATAAGAGGACTTTAAATATCAAAAGAAACTGCAATCTGATTTCTTTTTCTGATCAAATGGTGTCTAGCAAAGTCCACAAGAATTAAGCAGATTTATCCTTTCCCAAACTTGTAAGTGTCCTTACTACACAGACAGGACATTCATTTCTTCCTTGAAGCTGAGTTCCTCAATTTTGTGTTTTTAAAAATTAAGAGGAAATACTTCTGAGATAAGCCTGACATGTCTAGTTCTATGTTTTGTTGTTGTTTTGGTCCCCTAAAGCAAGGTTTCAGAACAGAAAAATACTAATTCAATAAGTAACCAGTTTTTTAAATTAAAACATATGGTTGCTAATTCGTGAACTGTTTTTTTTTCTTTTTGTTAGTTGAGTTACTCATTGGCCAACAATAGGTTAGGACTTAAGTTACAGTTCGATTGCAAAAGTATCCTTTGGAGGATATGGCCAAAAGCATCTCTGAAAGTTGTATTTCAACACTTGACAGAAGAATGTCAGTACTCCGAAACTTCTCCAAGTTATTAGAAACGATCAATCAATATGGTATGCTCTAAAACTCTTAAATGCAACATGAATGGTAAAATACCTACACCGGCTTAATTAAACTTTTCCATTCCACTTTGCTTGCTTTTGGCAACTGAAAACTTCTGACATGAAGAGATATACCAGGAGAATTTGAAAATAAACGTAATTTTGATAAACAACTTCCGTTTCTGATTTATTCAATTACAAATACATATTGAGTTTCTATCATGCACTCAGAACTTCTTATAAGGCAGTAATAAAAAATATGACACCTCGATTCAAGATTTTAATTTGCAAATCTTTGAAGAGAATTCAAGTTTCCCTCCAAGTGACTCCATTCTATTATCTCTCTTAAATATACATATAATTATAATATTAACATTGATATAAAATGGATATGTGTGTAGTCTTCTATAAAAGTAATTAATTTTCAACAAGTAATGATCACCAATGAATAGTCCATGGAGAGATCATATCCAGGTTGGTAGTAAATTTTTCTAGGAGTTAGACTGTGAAACAATAGAAATTTCAGTTTTTATCCTGGTGAGATGGTAATTTTTGTATCATGAAAGCAAAAATTGTACTGGACATAGTTAAATAGGCAAGAAAAATTTTATTCAAGGCTATGCAATGGAGAAGAGAAACCAGAACTCAGTCTGAACTGAACTCCAGTGAAATAAAAGATGGGAAAGTTTTTAAGAGCTGAGCGGGACATGGAGGGGAGAGTTTCTAAGAGCTGGAGTGGGGGGAATCCTAGTCACCTGTGTTTGCCAACTGGCCTTACCCAAAAGAGAAATAAAATTTTATCCTCATGACAGGAGGTAGAATTACAACTTGGAGCAAGGCACCTACCCTCCCACAGAGACCAGGAGACAGGGGCCTGTCTTTCTTGTTGATTACATTTGAAAGGGATGGCTCCAGGTCCTTCAGAAAGCTAGTTCTGGCTTGTAAAACCCCTAAGAGACTTTTAAAACGTTTACATCCCAAAGGGGCAGAGAAAGTATTTAAAATTATAAGTTTTCTAAAGTAAATGCTCTAAGGAAAGGGAGGTCAGGGGCTTCTGGGGTTAGACTTTCCGGATTCTGTAAGAGCCAAGGTGAGGGAGAGGCCAGGTGCCTAGAGGCAGAAGGAAGCCTGTCTAAAGTTATGTCAAGCTGAGGGAAATGTGAAGACCATCTTGGTCAGTAGTCAACGCTAAGAGAAACATTTAATAAATACAAATATCAATATCAAATCAAACGTATAATTAGAAGTAGATACAGTCTGCCACATTTTGTTATCATCAAAGTGCATTTGTCAATTTATCACAAAAAGAAGGCGTTGTTTTTCCTTATGCCTATCTGCCTTGCTTTCACTCTTGAGAGCAGCGGTTGGCAATCTAAGATCATAATTTTTGTTTTTAAAATAAATTTTTTATCAGAACACGGCCACGCCCATTTGTTTACTTAATATCTACAGCTGCGTTTGCACTAGGAGTGCAGAGCTGGGCATTTGTGGCAGAGACTGTAGCACCCACAAAGCTGAGAATATTTACTATCTGGCCCTTTACAGAAAACAGTTTTTGCTGATGCCTCCTTTATGCTGTTTTCTAGTGTGAGTGAGAACTTTGTCAAAACTGAGTCTTACAAATAGGAGGAGGACCCAATTCACCTGCAGATCACTTGATACCAAATAAGTATCTAAAAATATTTTTTTCTTGTTATTGTTTACTTAGGTTAAAAGGTAAGAGAAAAATACAAGTGATAAAATGGAGGGATGATTCTCCTCTTTTAAACTATCATACATTTACCATTTTTCTATATTAATGTGATTGTGCTTCTCAGAATATAAGAAAGATGTAAATGAAGAAATCCGACATCAGCACACAGAGATATTTTGGAATAAATTTAACTTGATCCTTTCTTTTACTGGGATTCTTTCCCGAAACATTTTTTTTTAAACATAGCTCTTTTTTGGCAAAACAGTTCATTTCCTTTACTTTAGACTGTTAATCATAATTGTGTTTTAATTGTGCTCAAATTTTATACCAAGTGTTCTCCGGAATTATTATATCCATTGACATGGGGCAGAGTATATGGCAAACTCACAGACTCCATTGTGGCTGCCCAATTACAAAATAGGTTGCCTCACAAGTCATGAGCTCCCTGTTACTGGAAGTGAGCAAGTAGAGGGATGATGATTACCTGTCAGAAATGCAATAACAGGGTTTCCTGATTTGGAGGGAGGTTCAATCGGGTGACCTCTAAGTTCCTTTTCATGTCTAAGAATCTATGTCTTTACTATTTAGCATTAGGACATTCTGTAAACTGAAAAAGCACACACACTTTCTCTGTCAGAAATTTTTTAAAAAAAGTATTCTTACATATGCTTTCTAGAATTATGACTGGTGATTAAACGCTATGAACAGTAAACTTTGAAGAAGAGCACTAATTTTGATCCAATCCAAATCCATTATTAAGATGGTTGAAAATGACTGACCTGGGCCAGTATCTATTCGGTTCAGATGAAAATATGATCTGATCATTAGAATGCAAAAACAGTCCTCTTATGTACATAAGTAGTTTACTTATTATGTATGGTATATATCTGAACAAAATTGCACTTACAATGTAGACCAGGTTTCAAAAGGTAAACTATGGGCAAGTAATAACTCAATTCTAAGTCCTTACTGAAACTCCTCAGTAAGGATTATGTGTCTGTCTGAGTCACTTCTGTAGTACCACATTTACGGGTTCTACGGGTGCTCAATAAATCTTGGTTTTACTGAATTAGCAACACTGGCATAAATATAGGAAGGAAGGATATAGTCTTTTTTTTTTTTTTTTTTGTGAGGAGATCAGCCCTGTGCTAACATCCGCCAATCCTCCTCTTTTTTTGCTGAGGAAAACGGCCCTGGGCTAACATCTGTGCCCATCTTCCTCCACTTTATATGGGACGCCGCCACAGCATGGCTTGCCAAGCAGTGCGTCAGTGCACACCCGGGATCCGAACCAGCGAACCCCGGGCCGCCGCAGCGGAGCGCGTGCACCCAACCGCTTGCGCCACCGGGCCGGCCCCGGAAGGATATAGTCTAATGTTAGGGTCAAGATACCTTAATGGCTCTAGATGTGTCTCTGAGACTAATAGCCTTTTAACCTTGGATAATGCACTTCAATTACCAGACTTGAGTTTCCTCAGATATCAAATAAAGCATTGGGTCCCAAACTTTAGAGTGGATGAGGATCACCTGCAGGGCTTGTTAAAACACAAATCTCTGGGCATCCTCTTCAAGGTTTCTGATTTGGTAGTCTGGGGTAAGGTGGAGAATTTGCATGTCTAAGTTCCTAGGGGCTGCTAATGCTGCTAGTCAAAAGACTACACTTTGGGAACAGAAGATTGTGCCAGTGAATTACCAAATCCTTAATACTTTATAGCTGTAAGAGACAGGGTAGCCAGCATCAAACCAGCACATTAAAATGAAAGCATCTTTTTAATCAAAATTTCATTTCAATTAGAAGAAAGATGAACGCTCTTCTTTTTTCCTTTCGATTTCAACAGAGATTTTTGATCATGTAAATGTTCTAAAGTACTTACGTCATAGCTTGATAAATGGATTCAATCCCATAACGCATGGCAAATTCATCAACTATTTCTTGGGAAGCATCATCAAAGAAAACCTTCCAGGCTTCATCCCCTTTGACCTCTGGGATTTTTACTCCACCATTAGATTTCACTTCAGTCAAGTAATGGAACAGATTCTAAAAGTAAGCAGTTTTCAAATGTTCAGTAATTCCTCAGAACAGGACAGAAATATTTAACTGTAACTTTCAGTAAATTATACTTGTATTGTAATTGCATCTAAGTTTCATCTGCATCTATAAGCAATAGGAATATCATGGAGTTTTATTCTAACTCACCTCACCTTTATGCAAATCCTGATTTTATTTCTGCCTGGGTCTGTACAGAATCAATGATTCAAATGTTTCATACATACCAAATCATTTTAGAAAGAAGCATAAGTTTTTGCATGTAAACATTTCTATATGCTAGAATGTATTTTGCATTTATGTGCTCTGAGTAAATTATAGAGCCCTGGATGAATAAGGTGATTTTGGCTATGTTAATACAGAATCTAGGTATGTAAATGATACTAAAGGGCTTTGGCTGCAAAAGTAGTAGGAGTCAGAGCAGTGAACTGAGGTTGAAAATGAATGCTTGAGAATTTTAAAATGAAAAAGAATCACTGTGCACAATTTGTTGTTGCTTCTAACAAGTTTAGGAACTGCTACATAGATGCAGCTTGGGTCACTGAAGGATCCTTTCTTGGATTTCAGTTCTTTTTGGGTCTTGGACCAGCAGAAAAGACTCTGAAAAGCAAAGCATAATACTTTTCCTCTGATCCCAAATCTTTGGTGCCCACACTTTAAGGGTAGAGTTGGCTCCTCATCCTGCCAGTTCAAGGGATTTCCTTTTATTGGTCTGAAAATGGAACCACCTTTCTTGAAGGAATGATATCACTGGCCAGATTGTAGTCAGGAAATTAAGCCTAGGTCTTATGTCTAATTACTGTGCAATGTGTAAATGACTTAAATACTGTTCCTCATTCCTTTAGTAAAACAAAGGTGCAAATAATTACAAATATAAATTTTCATAGGTATATTTAGAAAAAATAATATGCAAAGAGCAAAGATTCTCTCAGCTGTCTTTTTCTGTCTTAGGAAGGTACTTTCTCTTTACCTCTTTGAATGTGGAAAAAGATATGTTCCTTAGCTTCACCTTATATTTTTTGATACATGGGACAAGTGTAATTTGCATCAGAGGAAAGCTCTGGTGACACCTCTAACTAAGCTCTGAGCTGCAAAGCATCCAATGGAAGTTCAAGATTGTCTGTGTCTCTACACTGAGGCACGACAGGGAATTGGTGATTTTGCCCTTTAGGTTCACATTTGTGATCTCTACCTCTCTCTATGCCAACCAGACCCTACCTTTTGGGTGGGTATATTCTCTACTATCCGTGGGTGGGTAACTACATTCTGATACTCTCCATATCCAGATATGTTTGTGGAAAGGGTAGTTAAAATGGAGGAGGGTTCAATATGAATAAAGCTCTTTGTTGTATGCGGAAAAAAATACTGCTTATTACATTGGCTCCCAAAAGCCATTGATACAACATCAGTATTTTTATATTTCTAGTTATAAGCAATACTCCTAATTAAATCTTCAATAAAATCTGCACACTAAATCAGAGTTCTCAAAAACAATCATGATTTGCATCCTCCCCTGTATTACTAAAGTATTATATGTTTAATTCTTCCAAATATTTGTCATGACATTTCTTCAATGAATGCTTTTTAACATTCTTCTTTCTCCTTGAAAGAATGGTAATTTAATTTGTTCTACTTATTCATTATCATCTTATTGCCTTGTTTATTAATACCTGCCTCATGTGCTTGTTCTAAACTCTCCTTAGAGGACACCCTCCCTCTCTTCGGGGGGCAATACACGGGCTGTATGATAGCCTAGCACATCACCTGCTTTGGTATAGAGTAAGAACTCCAGGAACAACTCCACAAACCTAATTCAATTATATTTTTAAACCAAATGTTTTGTTGTATGATCCATAATCAAGACCAATTTATTTTCTAGATTTTATTATTAATACAATTCAATTTACTTACCTCATGTAAACATGTATATTGTATATGATATGGAGCAACCTTCTCCTCTCCTTTTATTTCCACATTGATTTTCAATCGAATGGCCCCAGATACAGCTGACTTATCTGTCCGTTTCTCTGATGAAGCAAAAAAGTAACTGGTCCGTCATTTTTGACAATAGCATATTTCTCATACAAGCTCTCAAAAGCTTAAAAAAAGGCTTACATTGCTAAAAGCCATTTTTCTAGATCAGGTGTTATTATTGACTAACTATGATGATTCTACCAAGTACGATTTAAAATAATGTGCCCATTGTGTCACTGTGATTACCAAATTGCATTATAGATACTTCAAATAGAAAAGCTCAATCAAAAGATCCTGTCATTCTGATATAAATTTCTGTGTACTTGATCAGTTTCTACAATGAAATTAAATTAACTATTTGGGCAATTAAAAGCAACATAACTTAAAGATAAAACTAACCAGGATAGTATTTTACCTAAAAGCTTCCATTTCTCTTTCTGTGCTTGAAAAGATGAGTCAAAGCTCTGGCTAACAAAAAAAAAATCTGTGAATAGATTTTTTTGTCAGTGATTCATAAAGACCTACAGTCACAGCCTGTGTTTACTTATGAGCGCTGGATTAACTCTTTATTTTAATGAATCAATATGTAGTCAATTTAGTCAAATACTGTGTGTGTGCGCGTATGTGCACACGTGTCCAATATGAACTGATCAGTAGCTTTGAGACAAATAAAAGCATAGTCATAAAATTCCTAGAGTGTGAATGTAGGTAGCAGACCTACTTTTGACACCCACTTCACGGATAAAACATAAAGAGGAAAACTTACCCGCTTCACAAGTGAAATATAAAAACGTAGAGTGACACAAGGTCAGTGGTGAAGACTTCTTTAACTGACCCTCTTTGTAAGCATAACTTTATTTTTACCCATATAAGATAAAGTTAAATTGTGAAGTGTACTTTCTTCTTGTAGAATGTCTGCTGACTTTTCATTGTTAATATTAATAGTTATGGTGTTGCCAAGATTCTTCCCTTAGGAGTGACAGGATTGTGAGAGTTTCTCCTACCAGCTGAGAGATCGTTGATTCTCAACAAATATTAAAGTTCTCTGCTGGGGCCAAGAGAAATGCAAGTCCTAGGATCTTTTTGTCACAGATCTCTTTCCAGAGCCCCAGCAGAGCATTACTGGTTCTTTGATGTTAACTATCATTCCAATGGATCCATGGGACACAGGTTCTGCTTGGATGTCCAGGGCTTTTTGCCAAGTCCTCTATATGGTGGAATGAATTCTAAATGATCAGGAAGGAGAAATGTTGTACAAAGAACGAACATACGGTACTTATGTGGATTGAATCCACTGAGGGATTTTACACAAAGCTAAAACCTGTCCTCCCTCCCCCTCTCCCTCTCTTTAAAAAGATTAAACATCAGCAATGAGGGCATAAAAGTGCAAACTGAGGGTGCGCAGGCAAAGGTTTCCATGTCGTGTTGCATCATACTTTCCTCTCCATAGACTGAAGGACAGTTTCAGCAGAAGAGCTGGATAGCTGATTTTACTAACAGTACATTCAAGTTCCATGGCAAACTGAATATACTCATGTACATTTTGTCAAAAGAACAATTTGAGAAATTTCTGCTTTGAATTTTAACGGCCTCAATTCAAGGATATGCTAACTTATTATAGAAGAAAAGTCTATACATAGGTAAACCATTTTAATTAAAACACTTTTCATGAGTATTACACAGAGTTAATGGCCTGAAGTTTACCCTTGCCTAACATCTCTGTTTTCATAAATAAAGTTATTTAATAGTATAAACAAGATACAGGAGGATAATCATTATAACTGAGGTAAAAATTGCATGCCAATAGTGTAGAAGCATTAATTTTCTTTAAGGAAGATTTCTTTAAAATATTTTTTGATACTGAGTTCTTAGTCTAGCTTGAGTCATTTGTGTCCAGATAAGTTACATATCTTTCCTCCTCTAAATTATTATGTAATTTAGAGTTTCATTAGTTCTATGTGAATTCAACCCTTTATTTTGTCAAATAGTACATTACTTGAAGTATGTAGGTTTTTAAAAAGCCAAAATCACTCTTTAATTAACTAAAATATATTCATATTTTAAATGGAAACTCTTTGTAATCCTGGGACTGTGTAAACATTTCTTTGATTAACAAACAGCCCTTAAAAATTTAATTAAAACATTTTAGATGACATAATTAAGAAATCTTAGATCATGTCCTTTACAGAAACTGAGGTAATCCATATATTTTTACAATTATTAAATCAGCACTGAATATTGGTTATTATTCAATCTAGTAAAAGTCAAATTAAAACTTATCTTTAATTCTTGGTTCGAAAATAAAATTTCATTTAAAAAATCATGCCAATTAAACATATTCTAAATATCTTCATCATCAGAGTAAGCATAAATCCACATATGTACTTGGCTTTGCCAACTAAAGCCTACTTTTATATCATCACTTGAAAGATAGCCAAAATACACTTTTCCTTTATTGCCAAAATTTCATTAAGAGACCAAAAGGAAATAAGTCAAACAGCATTAGGTCATGGGTTGATTATTTGTTTTCTATACATTTGGCAAAAGTTTTTGAAGGTATATTTTATGAATTAAAAATTAAGAACAGGATATTTTTCTCCTAAAAGACACCTAGTTGATTCTCTGAAAGGCTTTTCTCTTTTCATTTCAAATTTACCAACATCTTTCAATAATACTGAGTTTGAATAAATAATTATCACCTTTAGTTTTTAAGGAAACTGAACAGCCTAAAATCAAACAGAATGTTCTAGAAAGACATTGGTTATTTGTACTTATATGGCAATATAATACATACCACAGATATTCTGGAATTTTATTTAACTTTTTTTCAAGTAGGTATAAAAATAGTCACCTAAGTTGTACCAGACATCCATTTCTCCACTCAAGGTCCTCACTTCTACAATTGTTTGTCCCAGAAAATCATCTGACTCCTTTTTGAAATGTTGCTTGACTCTGGACTTAATGTCATCATCTTCATCCCAGACTCTGACTTTGATTCGATCTGTGGAGTTATGGCACTCACTGAAAATAAATGTGGTTAAGTTAACAACCATTCATAACTGCTCTAAACGGCATTCGATGTTAGCAACTTATTTTAAATCTATCTAATCCAAAAAGTCATAGTATATTACATTATAAATGAGATTTCCCACTGACCCATTCCATCCATCTTGCAGGTATCAGAGATATTGAAGAAATGTTGCATTAGTTAAATAATATTAATAAGGGAAATCCTATCCTATCCCAGCCTATTTCTCTTAACTGAACTAGGGTCAAATATGGGTCAAAAATCTTTGTTTGGGGTATTTTCTCTATGACATATTTTCTATTTGCAACAGTTATCTAGAACATAATATCTATGTGCAGAAAATTCTGCACCATAAATATAAAGCTAATTTTATTGCAATGGATGTTGACAAAGTGGATGTCACAGAGCATAAAATAACAATGTAGTTATGTGCAAGTAGTTGATAAACTAAAAATCCCAGTAAGCATAAAAGATATCATTAAATCAAGCAGAATTAGAGCAAAATTCTTTTGCTTTTAACAGTAAACCACACATTTTAATTCATCTCTTATTTCCAGTTTCCTCCACTCCTTCTTCTTGAAGCAAACCATTTAGTATTGACCACACATATTTGTCTTTCCTGACTCTATAGCTTTTGTATACACTCTTTCCTATGCTTCTCTGCCTGCTAACCAGTCGTTCTTTAAGAATCAGCTAGTCACCTGCTCTACGTAACTTTTTTGACAGCTATTGAACAGTTAGGATGATCAACTCTGGGCTCCCAATTTACTCTGTACATGCGTTCACTCTAGCACAGGGGTCTTCAACCTGGGGTCAGTGGATGAGTTCTGGGCATCCCCAAATTTGGATTAAAAAAACAATAAAACAATATCATCTTTATTTTCCTTCAATTATTAGCACGGGCAACAAACCACAGCACTATCAGTAGCTGGAAGATTTCTATCACCAATAAAACTACAGATATTAACATATAAGTTTACAAGTGTTATGAAACTTGTAATATTATTTATAACTACCATTACTCCACTAAAACTATTTTTCAAAAGAATTATTTTCTTTTCAATTCTGTGTATTTTATTTTAGGCATTTAAAAAATATATAATTTTGAAAAAGGTCCATAGTCTTGACCAGATTGCCAAATGGGCTTACGGTACAAAAGCCATTTAAGAACTCCAGACAGTATACTATCTCTCCCATTAACCCATGAGGCAAGACAATATAGCACACTTAAGAATGAGATTTGGAGTCTGGCATGCCAATGTGCAAATTTTAACCCAACTATTTCTACATAACGTAGAAATTTCTATATAATGTAGTTTTCAACACAGCATTTTGGCAATTTCTAGGATATTTTTGGTTGCTATAAACATTAAGGGGCACTATTGGCATTCAGTGGTCTAGGCCAGGGATTTACACACTCTGCCATCTACAGAGCAGTCTGCATGATCTGAAATGACTCAAAGAACTAATGAAGATGCAAAACCCATTGACAATTACCTCAGCTTGGGACTTAACTCTTTTACATAAAAACACCAACTCTTTTGCATGTTTTCCTAGATACTAAAATTTCCTGGAAAACAACTAGCATGTAAATTGCTAATCAAAGGAAGATTTTTGTTGTTATTTCTGTTTAGAACTTTACCAAAGGCTGTTTTCCATTTTAAGAAATTGCATTACCAATGCCAAAACCATTCAAAGTACTTGAATCAAAGTATTTGTATCAGTCTGTGATTGAGACGGTCACATACATGCTAATTCTACCAACAGATGAAAGCATTTGTCTACTAAATTATGTATTCTAGAGTAGTTGTGTCTGACTCTTACATATTAAAATACTTTTATTTCTCCTTCATGTAATAGTTGGAACATTGTATTGATTATTTGAAATTATATTGATAGATTAAATTATATATTATTTTGTTTCAGCATAAAAAAGTCATTATGAATTATTTTATATAAAAAGGGGTCATTGGATCTGATAGAGTGGAGAACTACTAACTAATTTCACCTGACTTAACTTCTATGAATCTCAGTTTCTTTATCTATAAATGGACGTAATGATACCTATCTTAGAAGATATGTATGGAAAATAAGTGAAATAATGTCTTACAGCAGTGAGTACAGGGACAGACACATAGTATTTGATCTATATTAGTCATTATTATTATAATGTCATTACGCCATAGTTCTTTTTGAAGTTAGAGCCTATGTTTGGTAATATATCTATTCTTGACAGTTTCTAGCATACATCTGACATTCAAAAATTATTCATGAAAAAAATCTGCAAAGTTTTGCCAAAATAAAATCCCCTTTACAATATTTGAAGGAAAAATAATTTTATCATTCTTAGAAATATTATATTTATCAAAGAAGTTCTGCAAGTTTCACAGCTAAACACACACCTGAAATAACGGCAGCAAGGATATTTAGATAGTGAAATCTTTGGCAGTTTACTGAAAATTTATATTAAACATGACTAAAATTTTAATTTCTTTACTATCAAAAAGAAAAAACGTCATTGTAGAAACAAAAATACAACTACCAGCCCATTTGCCTCATCTTTATCTTAGAAAAAGTAAAGAAAACTTAGAGTATCAGGAAAAATAGTTATCTTTGCCATAAACTTAAAACACACAACATTACAAAATCAGAAAGAAATCTTCTCTTGTCACCTTTTGATAAAATAAATCACCAGAGTTCATGTAAGTCCTAGGAGACAGAGATCTAATATATTTTTTCCCTGTAAAAAATAGGTACAATAAATAGCAAGCTCTAGATAATAAAGATTGGAATAAAGATTGGTAAATATTTCTAGAATCTATTCTTTAGCAAGATAAAAATATCCTGTCTCTTTGTGAAGAAGAATATTTGAGGCCTTAGTTTTTGTTATAAATTTAAGGTAAATATTTTTAGCTAGTTAAATATATACACGAATAGTAATTCATATAAAACAGTAATAACATATATGTATGCATGTATGTATATATGTACATACATATATACATATACACATACATACATTATAACCTCTCCCTCTCCTTGTACAGAATTCATAAATGTTTACGTACACATATACATTATGTGTGTTTGTGTGTGTGTATATATATATGTGTGTGTGTGTGTGTGTATATATATATATATAAAGCAGAAAGACAATACTATCTTTCTGTCCAAATTTCTATTAGAAATAGCTCTCTTTTTTTGTACCAAGTGGAAGTACATCTTCCAAATGGCTGCTTACATTTCTATTATTTTCTTCATTAATTTGTTTTGTACTTTTTTTTTCTGAGGAAGATTAGTCCTGAGCTAACATCAGTACCCATCTTCCTCTATTTTGCATATGGCATGCTGCCAAAGCATGGCTTGATGGGCAGTGCGTAGGTCCGCCCCTGGGATCCAAACCTGCGAACCCTGGGCCACTGACGCGGAGTGCGCGAACTTAACTACTATGCCACCGGGCTGGCCCCTGTATTTTTTGTTTTTATTATGCCATCGAGAGTTTACTATGCCCTTATCCATGTATCCATCTATTCATTCAGTCACCTATTTAGCAGTTATTTATTGAGGACCTACTAATGTGCAGACACAATTGAGGCTTAGTGAAGTTAGATAATTCAACCAACCAAACTCTTCTTTTTTTAATGTGAAAATAAAATGTACATAATATTAATGTATTCAGGACAAATATAAATAATCAATGATGTACACCTACATATATACTAGCGATTTTGCTGAAGGGAATTTGAATCTCTCTGCATTTCTCATTCTCTTTTTTCATTTTTTAACTCAATAACTTTAAAATTCAAAATAATTTCAGATTTATAGAAAAGTTGCAAAAGGGTAGTTTGTACTTGTATAGGTACACTTTTTTCTACAGAAGCAGCTGGCTTTCCTCAGCCATGCAGGGTTCCAAATTATGATATTCTCAGTCAATTTACATGCAGGACACAGCAGAGGGAGCCTCTTTCGGCAGAGCTGTGCTCCCTTGCATCTCTGCCTACAGACTGTCTAGCTCAATACTGACTGATGTAGGGATTTTTCAACAATGAAGGGAGCTTCAATAACAAAACTTAAAGTGTGGAATTGACTCTACAGGAGATGATGAAGGCAGACAGAGAAGATTTAATTGCCACAGGCTGGAAAGCCAATGTATTTTGAAATGCCATAACAAAATAGCTGATCAAACTATTGCTTGCTATGCCTTGGAACTCCAAGCACATGGCATCTGAAGCTTTTTTATTACTGTGAATGGTAGGAATAAAATTCAGAATAATGGCATGTACTTATTAAATTTTGCTGCTTTCAAAAATGTACTACAGTAGAGAGGCATTCAAACTAAACTTAGACAATCCATGAGCAGAGATGCAAGGGAGCGCAGCTAGGCCAAAAGAGCCTCACTCTGCTTGGGTCCTGCAACATAAATTGACTGAGAATATCATAATTTGTATCCCTGCATGGTTGAGATAAGGCAGCTGCTTCTGTATACAAAAATGTACCTATACAAGCAGAGGTTTCTAAGCGCAACTTCAAAAAGAGATAAAATTGTGACCCCAGGGCTTTTCAAACCCTTTCCTTTAGGAAGGTTCTTCCTTTAGGAAGAATTCTGACAATGAAGGAGAATTTAGTGGCAAAGATTAGATTAACAGTGTTGCATTCTCACCCCGGCATGTTATTTTTCAGGGGCTGAGGCAGCAGCCATTAGGTTAAGGGAGAAAAATTGGTCAGAATAGAGGTGCCAGTAGGAAAGAGTTAAAATTTCCAGGCTTATGTGGTTACTCATAAAATTGTCTTGAAACGCATATTCTGGAAGCCTAGTAAATTTTTCAAGGAACAGTATTGGAAAACGTGCCTCAGGTTGGCTGCAGCTATACTTAGCATAATTTCTGGATCCTTGAACTTACAGCAATAAGAAGTGGGATCCAAGTAGAGTCTCTTCCCAACTAAGAAGACCATATGCTTGGATTTCTTGGGATGGTCTCAATTTACGGTTACT